ACCTGCCCCACGTGTGGGTCTGTATGGGACCTGAGCAGTGTGCGTCGGTCTGTATGGGACCTGTGCCCCCCGCCCACAGCTGCGTGGAGTCCTGACCCCCATAGACACGCCATAGGGAATTGACCCCCCCCATAGACACACCGTGGGGACCTGACCCCCCCTGCGGGATGTCCCTGGTGCATGGGTGTGGGCGGGATGGGGCCGCGATGCCACCTCCCAGCGGGCAGCAGCCGGAGCTGTGCCATCTCCCAGCACTGGTTCCCATCAGCAGGGCAGGGCAGGCTCCCCCCCCCCCTCCCCCCCTCCTGACCTCCCCCCCACTTTGCTCCTAATGCCGTCTCTCCTCTCCTGCACACCGCAGAGCAGGGCATGGTGCCGCCGGGCTGAGCGCTGGCACGCAGCGGGGGGGTGAGCAGAGCCATGGAGGGGCCCGGCCAGGTAGGGACACCCTGGCCCCCCCCCCCCGCGCCCCGTCCTGCTGACCCCCAGACTCCCATGACCCCTCTGACCCCCCCTCTGTGTGCCCACAGGACACCGAGGACGCGCTACGCAGGAGCCTGGACCCCGAGGGTTACGAGGACACCAAGGGCTCCAGGATATCCCTGGGGGGGATGAGCAGTGAGTGGCGCCGATGGCTGCGGGGTCGTGGGGGTGCAGGGGGGACGGCGCTGCATGGAGGGGCATCGCAGCAGAGCTGTGTGGGTGCGGGGGGTCAGCGGGGCTGCGGGTTTGTGACCCCCTGTGGGCAGCTGTGGGTCTGGGCTGCACGTCGCAATGCTGTCGGTGCTGCTGTTGCACGGGCAGTGGTGTTGCACAGGAATGTTGCAGGGATGCCTGGCGTGGGCACCAGCGTCGCATGGCTGCTGGTATTGCATGAGCACCAGCGCCGTGTGGGTGACGGTGGTGCATGGGTGCCAGCATTGGCATGGACACCAGCAGTGCATGAGTGCCAGTGTTGGCATAGGACAGCAGCACTGCAAGGTAGCAGCTTTGCATGAGCACCAGTCCTGCATGCTGCATGCAGTCCAGCAATGCGCGAGAGCCAGATCTGCACGGGCACCAGCGTTGCACAGATGCGTCGCATGGGCTCTAGAGTTGCACGAACGCCCACCTTGCCCGGGTGCCACCGTTGCACGAGCAGCAGTGCTGCACAAACACCTGCGTTGCACGGTGCTGGCGTTGCACGGGGGCCAGGTTCGCTGGGTGCCAGGCGGTGGCCGTCTCCATAACGCTGCCGCCCGTTGTGCGCAGGGGCTGTTGGTGGCGTTGGGTCCCCCCTGCAGAGGGCGAGAGCTGAGCAGCTGTCCCCGCTGCGGTGAGTCGCTCCCCGCTCACGGACCCCCCCCCCGGGGGGGGGGGGCCCCCCTCTCGCCCCCCCCCCCTCCCCATGTTGGCACCCGGCGCTGAGCGCTGTGTGTTTTGCAGCCGCTTTCTGCCCAGCCACCGGGGATCCTATGATGTGGACGGGAGGAGGCGCGAGGTCGGGGCCCCACCGGAACGGGACGGTGGCAGAGGGCAGAGTGAGTGAGAGCGGGGACGCTGCGGGGGGGGGACACGGAGATGTTTGTGCGTCCCCCCCCCCCCCTCCTCCAGGTCCCTCTGCCGCCGTGGGGTGGCACAGCGGGGTGACCGCGATCGCTTGTCCTGATCGCCCATTGATTGAGGGTAAACAGAGCCGTGTTTGGGGTGAGGACAGGAACCACTCGGGGCTGAGTGCCGTCCGGCGCCGGGCGGCTCGGTGGTGACAAGGACGGCTCGGTGTGCATCGCGTGCCATAGGGGACAGATGTGGTGACACGCTCCCTGTCCCATCGGTGGCATTGCTCCCATCCTGGCAGGGATGGCTGTGGTGTCAGCGGGGCCCGGAGCATCATGCAGGGGACCGTGGGGGTCCCTGGTGCGGGTGCTGCGGGGTGAGGGGGTGAGGTGCCCCCCCAGGGGCTGCGCCGCTGTTTACTGTCAGCAGGAGCAAAGTGCTTTGGGGTTTATGGTGCACACAGGGCGTGGGGCCGGCCGGCCGCACGCAGAGGGGCATTATAGGGCCGGAGCATGTGGGGAGAGCGGGGGGGAGCAGGTAGGCAGGGGATGGGGACGGGGGACACCAGGCCATTAGGTGAGGGGACGCCATGTCCCCAGCGTGGTCCGGGTGCCCAGGTTGGGGTCTGAGGCTGAGCGTGGCAATGGGGCTGTCAGCCCACCCCGGTGCTGGGCACTGCAGAGGGGCGATGGGGCGGTGGAGGTGGGGAGGGCGGACGGATGGACACCCTGCAGACCCCACTGGGGTTGGGCAGGACCTGCTGACACGGCGCCCGCTCCGCTCACAGCTCCATCGGTGACCGATGTGGACCTGGAGGCCGCGGAGAGCAGGCGGCCCACGGCCCAGAGGGACACCCATGAGGTGGGTGCTGCGACCACCGGACCCCCCTTCCCCATCCCATGGGCACCAACGAGGCCACCTGGGGACAACGACGGGGGGTCCTGGCCACAGTGGGTGGGTGGGCAGCATCAGTGCAGCGGGTGACACGCGGTGACCGCAGGGCTACGTGGAGCTGCACGAGTTGGTGCTGGACAGCAAGAAGGAGCTGTGCTGGATGGAAGCCGGGCGTTGGCTGCATCTGGAGGAGAGCATGGAGCCGGGGGGGACCTGGAGCTGCCACCTCCCCCTACTCACCTACAACGGGCTGCTGGAGCTGCGCCGTGCCTTCGCCAAAGGTGGGCAGCCTGCGCTGTGCGTTGGGGGATGCGGGCATGGCGACGTGCGGTGCCAAAACGCGGTGCCAAAACGTGGTGCCATCCTGCAGGCATCGTGCTGCTGGACGTGGCAGCCACCTCGCTGGCAGCCGTGGCCCACACACTGCTGGAGCAGCTCATCTATGAGGGGCAGCTGAAGCCGCAGCACCGGGAGGATGTCCTGCGGGCGCTGCTGCTGCAGCACAAGTATGCACGGGTTCCCGGTGGGCTGTTCTCCCCCCTCCCCAAAGCTGTGGTCCCCCCCCCCCCCCGGGGTGTCGGGGCGCGGTGGCAGCTGATGTGGCCTCGCAGGCATCCCAGTGAGGCTGAGTCGGTGTGGACGCTGCCGGCGGCGCAGCTGCAGCACTGGGATGGGGAGCAGATGGACGCGGAGCACCGGGCGCTGCTGCAGGAGCAGAGGGCTGTGGAGATGAAGGAGCTGCGTGGGGCTGAGACGGTGAGCAGGGAGGGCTGGGGGGGGCAGAGGAACAGGGGGGTGGCGTGCGGGTGGTGCTCATGTGTGTGAGTGTGTGTGTGTGTGAGTATGTGTGTGTGTTTTGCACGGGGAGGTGCGAGCGCATGAGGACATGGCTGTGTGTGTGAGTGCACACAGTGGGGAGCAGTGGGAAGGGGCACAGGGGGCAGTGGGGAGGGGGGGGGCACAGAGGGACAGATTGGGACAAGTAGAGGGGGACACGTGGGGGACGTGGACCCATAGGGGGTGTGGAGGGAGATGCGTAGGGGACACGCAGGGGGTGACGGGGGCACACAGAGGGGTTGGAGGGGTGCAGCAGGACCTGCAGTGGACGCACAGCAAACACACAGGGGGCTCTCAGGGGCCGGAGCCGGACAGCGGGGTCAATTCCAATGCTGACCCCCCACCCCCCCCCCGGCCCCACAGAGCCCCCCTGGGGCGCAGCTCGGCCCCCAGCTCCACCAGCAGATCCCTGAGGATGCCGAGGCCACTCTGGTGCTTGTGGGTGAGTGCTGGGGGGTTTTGCTGTGCTCCCCCAGCGCCCTTCTGCTGCTCCCCACACCCTCAGCCCCCCCCCCCCC